GCATCTGACGACGGGAGCAAAGTTGGCTAAATTTCTTAACGAAATGGGGGCCCGACCCTAGAGGACGGCCTCTCAGCCGTGGGAGGTGGGAAGGTCCCTCCCCCCACTTCTCCAGCACTGGCTCTGGGGCCCCACCCCGCGCCCTCCCTCAGGAGCAGGGAGGTGGCCAGGTCTGAGGGGCCTGGGCTTGCCCTGCAGCCCTGGGCCCTGCTCCCCTGCCTGAGGTGGGTCTAGGGGAGGCCGCTCCTTCCTCGAGGCACTGGAGGCTGGTTCTCTGCAAAATGTTGAGATTCGAGGGAACTTCGAATCTTGCGGGTGACCAGTCTGTGCCCCCCGGACATCTTAGGGCCCTTGACCAGACCTGACTTGTGTGGGAAGGTGGTGAATTTGGATGGCTCCTCCTCTAGCTCCGGTCCTAGTTAATCTGATACAGACTTTAGTCTCCAGGGGCTACGTTCAAGGTTACTGTATCAGTCTGCATGGGCTAGGTTACGCTTCAGTAACAAACAACCCCAAGGGCCCAAGTCCTGGTCCGCACCCCCTCCCCTGCACCCCCAGGGGACACGTTGATATCGGCAGAGGGAAGGGGGAGCTGGGAAATGGTGCCCTGGCTCACAGCTTCCACAACCACACACACACACACACACACACACACATACACACACACACACACACGTCCCTCTGGCGAAAGCACACAGCCACGCCTAACTCCGGGGGGCTGTGCCATCGTCGGTGACAGCACAGAAGCCTAGGACAATTCCTGGGGCCCAGGTGCCCTCCTGTCAGCAGGATGCTTGACACCCAAGGAGTCATTGAGTGGCCGGAACTTGAGTCTCCCTGGCAGGAAGAGGTGGGGGATTGATGTGCTTCATGCTGTTTAGTTTGGGAACAAGGAGAACCTGTCGGTGCCACCTGGCCATAGGACACTGTGTCCAAACTGACTGCCCGGTTGGTAAAACTCCAGCTCTGACCGGTCACCCAAAGGAGTGGCCTAGTAAGCAAAGGGCCAGGTTGCACTGAAAAAGCCCTTTTGAGCCATTAATCCTGCGACAGGCCAGGCCCTGCCCGGGCGCCGTGGGGTTCAGCCTCTGGATGAGGGGCCGATCTCAGCACCCAGCCCTCTGACCACTGCGTGCGGGGTCACGATGGTGGCTGCGGAGAAACGTGTTCTCAAAACATTTCCTTGATGTTACGTTTTAACAACAGACCAAAACCGAGTTTCAAATCTGCAGTGGGAGTTTGGAAGGAGCCTGTTTTCAGATGAGCCCCTGGACAAGGGGAACCCCTGTGCCCACGTCTCTTCTGGAATCTGTCTGCTCCAGCGAGCTCCCAGGGCGGGGAGGGCCGGGCGCCGGGTCACCCCGTCATCAGCAGATGGACTTGAGCACCTACTATGTGCAGCCGGTCTGGGCTTCAGTGACCCGGGGAGTCGGGGCTCGGTCGAGGGTGTCGGGGCCCCAGGCGTCTGCCCCTGGAACGGAGTGGAGAGAAGCCTGTGACCCCGCACCCCCCGTCCCGGCCTTCCCAGATCACGCTGTACGAGGGCAAGCACTTCACCGGGCGGAAGCTGGAGGTCTTCGGAGACTGCGAGAACTTCCAGGACCGAGGCTTCATGAACCGGGTGAACTCCATCCGCGTGGAGAGCGGCTCCTGGGTCTGCTTCGGCCACCCCGACTTCCGCGGCCAGCAGTTCGTCCTGGAGCACGGCGACTACCCAGACTTCTTCCGCTGGAACGGCCACAACGACCACATGGGGTCCTGTCGGCCCGTGGGGATGGTGAGTGGGCCTCTCTCCCTTGGGGGGAGCCTCTTGCCGGAGCGGCGGGGGCTGGGGGGTCGTGGGACAAGCATCGGGGAGCACGGCCATCCCGGCGTTAAGATCCGACAGGGCCACGGGGTCTTTAAGACAGAGCGGGGCCTCGTGCAGATCCAGCCGCTCCCGTGGGTGTGGCTGGCGAGGGGACAGACCCACTCGGCGAGACCCGGGCCTGTCGGAGCCTCTCTTTGCTGCAGGAAAGCTCTTTAAGTTTCTGATCTCAAAATCTTGCTGCATTTTCCACCTAAAATGCTGTCGGAAATACTAGAAGTTTGATTTTGCGACCAGATGGGGGAGCACTTAGCTATCGAGTAAGGTCGGTTTGGGCCTGGTGTGTCCACCCAGGCAGGTCATATTTTACCATTTTTCAAGACCCTTCGATATTCAACTGTGGAAAAGCTGACGGGGACGCTCCATCACTGGACAGTCGGTGGGAATCTGGGGACAGGAGCCAGCAGGTGGCTGCCATCACACGATGTGGCCCAGTGCGTGCGGGAGAGCAAATGAGGGGCGTCACTCCCCACGGCAAAGGGCTGTGTATATCCAGTTGTCCCCACAGTGGGATTTGGGGCTGGGTTTTCCCATTCCCTAGAATTCTCCCAAGTCACAAGTCCTAACCGACCTGTTCTGAGTTCCTGGCGGCTGGGAGGGGGAAGGGCTGATTCCTGAGATCAGGGGTCAGCGCTCTCATCAGAGAATGTCAGTCATGTGTCTGCAAGGGGACCTTCTCCTGCACGCAGGGCCAGGGGTGCTGGCGGACATCTGGTGACCCCCAAGGAAGGGGCTTCCTATGTGGGGCCCCTCTCTTTTCCACACGGGTTGCAAAACCGGCTGGCCTTTGGCACCTCACGTTGTCAGCGGGCTTTCTCAGTATTTCCTCCAGGCCACAGACATTTGGAAAAAAAGAATTAACATGGCCGGCCCAGGTCTTGCATACTGCTATTTATATAAATAGAGGAACATCCTAAATGTCTTGTGAATACTGTTCTCCTAAGAGCTGTCCTTGGGGCCAGCGGTGACGCAGTTGGGAGCTGGCCCGCCTCTGTCTTTTGGAAGAAGGGAATCTTCTAGGGAGATCAATGTCCCCATCCCAGGGAGCCAGCCTTTTAGCAAACGAGATCTCTGTATTTGTTTTAGACTTCTGGCTTCATGTTTGGATAAAAGGTTCTATTACGGTTTGTAAAATATTATCATTTAAAGGCTTGCCCGTGGCCTGCGGCCTGGGGTGGGGGTGAGGGGCAAAGGAATGTGTCGGTGTGGCTGGGGCGGGAGTCCCCAGCCCGAGCAGCAGGAGGGGGCCCAGTGTCCCCAGCCTCGGTGGGAGCATGGACACTGTCCCCTGGGCATTCTGGCTCCCTCTGCACCCCAGATTCTGGTTGAAGAAAGAGGAGACGGGGCTGGTTCAGGGGCTCTGCAGCTTTTTAAAGCAACAGACCCCTTTCCACCAGCCAAAGCTCGAGTACAAGAAGAAGCAGAAGCACTGGATTTGGGTGCAGGGGTCGGGGTTGGGGGCACCCATGGCCCCCAACCCAGGACTCTGGGGTGCCCAGAGCTCCCGCCCACACGGGCTTCTGTTCCCGGTGGGGAGACTCAGCACCGCTGGCCTTCCTTCTCCCCCCCACCCCGTGGGGCCCACAGCACGGGGAGCATTTCCGCCTGGAAATCTTCGAGGGCTGCAACTTCACGGGCCAGTGCCTGGAGTTCCAGGAGGACTGCCCGCTCCTCCAGAGTCGGGGCTGGGCCAAGAGCTGTGTCAACGCCATCAAGGTGTACGGGGACGGAGCGTGAGTAGAGGCCATGTGGCTGCTGACCAGAGGCCCAGCCGGGCCCTGCTGTGGGGTGGGTCAGACCTCAGCAGGAGGGGCAGCCTGTCCCCTGGCCCGGGGCCTGTCCCTCCCTCAGCTGCCTCCCCTGCCCCAGTCAGACAGCGTGCTGGTTCCCTCCATGGCCCAGAAAGCCCACCGCTGGGGCCCCAGAGTGTCGGGAGGCCGGCTCCTCCATGTAGCTGCCTTCCCGTGCTGCTTTCCCCCTGCAGGGGACGTCCCCGGGGGCACGAACTTGTGTGTGGATTTACTTTGGAATTTCCAGGCCCTAAAACAGTGCCAGGCACACCGGTGGAAACAGGCACGCGGTCGCTGCATGAGGGAATAGTGACTGGTCCCCACTCTGCCGGGCACGCTGCCAGGTGCTGGGCGCTGGCCGTGCCAACCGCCCTTTCTCACGTGTGTGCCAGTGTGCATGTATGTGTGGGCATGTGTATGCATGTGTGTGAGTGTGTGTGCATGTGTGCGTGGGGGCGTATGTGCACATGTGCGTGCGTGCATGGCCATGGGGGGCGTGCATGTGTGTGCGTGCGTACGTATGTGTGTGGGGGGGGCATATGTGCACGTGTGTGTGTGTGCGTGTGGGGTGTATGTGCACGTGTGTGTGTGCATGAGCGTGTGTGTGTGCGTGCATTGTGTGCGTGTGTGCATGCGTGGGCGTGTGCGCACGTGCGTGTGTGTGTGTGTATGTGTGTGCATCCTGGAATCGCCCCGGCCCTGGCAGACGGGTTAGTTTAAAATGTCTTTATCGAGCAACCCCAGTGCATACGTCACCCCCAGCACTGACCCCAGCACTGACCCCAGCACTGACCCCAGCACTGACCCCAGCACACAGAACAAGGACAAGACAGTGGGCCAAGGGGGAGGAAATAAGCCAAGAGCAGGGCTGGGGGCCACCGCTGTTCCCCAGGGTGAGCAGAGGGCCTTGGGTCGGGAGGGGGAGCTGCCGGGCTGGTGCGGGGAAGGAAGGGGAAGCTGGCCTGCGGGTGGCCCTCCACGGCTCGGCACCCGTCCCCTGACCCCACGCCCGCCCTGGCCCTAGGTGGGTCCTGTACGAGGAGCCCAACTACCGCGGGCGCATGTACCTGGTGGAGCGGGGCGACTTCCGCAGCTTCTCCGACTGGGAGGCCCCGAGCGGGCGCATCCAGTCCCTCCGCAGGGTCGTCAACTTCTTCTAGCTGGCCACCGCTGTCCGGCCAGGACCCGAGAGGCCCGCGAGAAGGGCGGCCCCTTCCTGCCCCGCCGGGACTGAGGACTGTGGGGAATAAAAGTTACAAAAGTGGAGAGTGAGCTGGCCTGAGTGACGTCCTTGTCCCCTCCTGACCGCGGGGAGCCAGATGGGGCAGCCCGAGGCCCCAGGCAGGAACCTGGCAGGACTCCTCAGGCAGGGAGCCCAGGGGACCCAGAGGGTGGAGGTTCCCCCTGAGGAACATCGGGCTGGAAGGGACCTAAAGGCCGTGGTGTCCAGCCCTTTCATTTTACATGTGAGAAACTCTGAGTCGGAGTGACCCCCACCCTGGGGCCCCAAAGCAAGCTCCTGGGGAAGCCAGGATGGGGCAGGGTGCTTCCTATGACCCCCAACACCCCGACACCCTCTCCCAGCTGTCGGAGGATGGGGGGTGAAATGGTGGGGGCCAGGATGGGGCAGCGGTGGGAGGAGGGGTCCAGTGTGTGCGGTGGTCCGCAGGGAGGCAGACGCCCCCTCCCAGCTGCCTCTCCCTGACTCAGCAACAGGCCGGCCAGGCCACGTGCTCTGCTCCGCAGCCAAAAGCCTGACCCAGGGCTAGTGAGTCTTGGCCTCGGGGATTACGTGACCTCGGTTCCTCCAAAAGGATGGGCTGGCCCCCAGGGACACTCGCCCCTTACTTCCTATAAGGAGAGAGAAGTTGGGGGAGGGGGTGCTCGGAAGCCGAGTGGGGGCTGTTTCATGAACATGGGCTTTGTGGGGATGGAGGGGATGGGTCTTGGAAGGAGCATTCACGGCTGAAGGGGGCTCAGGCCTCCGCTCCAACCCCCCACCCACTCACAGGGCGGACAGACCCAGGGCCACGCTCCCCTCACTCTGCGGGGGAGGGGGGTCCACGGAGCTTCTCTGTGGCCTGGGCCCACGCTGCTGGGTTCAGTGGCAGTGGACACCACCCCCAGGGGAGAGGGAGGGCAGAGCCTGTCCTGGAGGCAGCGGGATCTCACCCTCAACGCCTCCCACCCACACTTCCGTGTCCAGCACCCCCCCCCAGTACGGGGGAGCCTGTTGGGCACTGGGGGAGGCCCAGGGTGGCTCCCGTGCCCTGCCCCCGCCAGAATCCTGAACGGCAGAGCTGCCTGGACTGACCTGTGTTCAGATGTACGCGGATGTGTTTCTTGGAGAGGGTACCTGGCTGATGTCCTCTTCCGTGGCCCGGGCTCCTAGGAACGCAAGGGCACCAGACACCTGGACAGGGCTCGTGGAGGCAGAGAACCCAAGGATGTCTACCCCTGACGGCACCGAGCAAGGCCCCGGCCGGAAGAGGGATCGGAGCTGGGACAGTGCCGATCGTCAGTGAGAGTTCTGACCATCAGATCAAGCTCGGGGTCCAGCTTTCAAACCCGCACTCTGCCATCCTGGGGTCCCCTGTCCCCACGGCCACCCTCCTGACTGGCCACGCAGGCTCCCACCCCGTCCCCACCACACACCTTGCTTGTGCTTTTCCCAGCAGGTGAAAGGGGGTCCCAACTGGGGATGATCCCCTCCCTCCAGGCCAGCCCCTCCCTCAGGGCCCCCATGGGAAAGCAACTGAACCCTGGAATTAACAAATCCTAAGCTGGCTGGTGGAACATGGACTCGGGGTGGAGTGCGGGGGGGAACAGGGTCCTTGAAAGAAAAGCTAAAATCCCAGGGGGCGGCTTCTGCAATGGGGCTGGCATAGAGGAGACAAGGATTGTGTCCCAAGGGACGTGAAGCCTCAATTGTCCCAGTTCCTGGTACCACTCCCTACTCCCCACTGAGAGAGACTGGGTGGGGGGGGTCGGGGGGGTAGGGGGGTAGGTAAGCCATCGAAGGCCCCGCAAGTCGCCCAGGACAATGCCCCCAAGAGCTGGGAGGCAAAGGCGTGGGGCCACAAGAGTCTGCTGTGGGACCCCCCTGAGCAGAGAAATCATACCACCCGGTGGCTGTCCCCCTTGCCTGGAGGGGAAGAGGCTGCCCCTCTGTTGTTTGTAGATGGGGTCCACAAAGCATGTGCCCTGTACCCTGAAAGCCCACAGCCCACATCCTTCCCTTGCAATCCAGAGAATGGAGCTCTAGGAGGCCCAGCCCCGTGGGACGGGGCGGGCCACCAGGCCCTGTGGCTCCGTCCAGGTCCAGCCAACCTCTCTGCAGGAGAGGGCTCAGGCCACGAACTTCTCAACAAACCACCACGGAACGAACAGCAAAGCAGTTCGAATCTCTAAGCCCAGAACGAATCAACACTTAAATGTTATGTCACCGCGTCTGAGTCGAGAAGTTTGTTTAAGATCAAGCTCTTGTTTTTCATTCCTCTGCTAGTGCATTCAGGGGCGCGGGGCCCTCTGGGAGCTCAGCCACATTCCTGTCAGCTGGTCAACCCCTCCCTGCTCCTCTGGTCTATCCTGCAACTGTCTGACTCCCGGCCCCTCAAACCTCCATGCCAGCTCTGGGGAAGGAGGAGGATGCAGGTGCAGCTGGCCCTCGGCTCCTAGGATCTCACACCCCGCTGCCCACTGTTGGTGATGATGGTGACATCATTGTGCATTTATTGAGCACTGACTGTATGCCACCCTCTGTACTAGCAGAATCTAGCAGTATAATTTTATCTTACTGTGCCCAGCACCAAGATTGTGATATGCTTGTTATCGCTACTGCAGAAGAGGATAGTTAGACACAGTCAGTTGAAGCAGCTTCCCGAGGTCACGCAGCAGTCAGGGTTTAAACCCAGATCGATGGCTGGGATCCCTTCGCCCCACTCACTCTGTCGCACCTCACATTTGCATATGCAGGTACATTTTACAATAGTTAAACTAACAGTAACCCCACCCGGGGAGCAACTGAACACTCGAAGCATCGTCCCTGTGACCTGGGAGGCATGGAAGCTGGGCGTCCGGACCTGGAGCGGGCTCATGGGGAGAGGCAGGGCCCACCTTCTCCACTCGCTTATGGCAGGAACTGGATGCAAAGTGCATGTATTAGTCAGCTCGGCTGCTGTAACAAACACGCCCACGGGGGCTGAGCCAACAGAAACATGTTCCCCTCTCCTTGCCTTCTTGCTGTGTCTTCACACGGCCTTTCCCCCTCCACGTGTGTCTGTGTCCTAATCCCCTCCTACAAGGACGCCGGTCATACTGGATCAGGGCCCCCCTTCTACCTCATTTTAACTTAGTGACCACTGCAAAGATCCTGTCTCTGAACATGGTCCCATCCTGAGGTTCCGAGGATTCGATTTCAACATATGAACTGTGGGGGGCGGGGGGAGGCGCACTTCCGCCTGTAACACGAACCCGACAGCCTCTCTAGGCCTCGGTTCCCCGCTCTGTGACATTACTGCTGTCACATCTGTTGTTCCCACTGTATACAGTCGCAAACGCCCAACGGTCCTGTGCGGAGAGTGGTTTTCAGTTGTAAGTGACACGCTCCTTAGTGTCGCCCGGTACCTTGGGGGAGCAGGAAGCAGCGTCTGCATCTCGTGAGAGGTGGGAGACGCGCGTGTGAGCTCTGGGTCCCGGCTCTCAGTCGACTGCACCCTGGTCCTCTCTCGATTACTCACGAGAACGTGACCTCGGATACGCTGCTCCGTGCCTCGGTTTCCCCAGCTATGCGACGAGGATAATAACAGCACCCGCTTCAAGGGGATCAGCTGAGAACCACTGCCAAAGGAAGCCTTCCCACAGCTCGGACGGCTCCTCGGGAGCCAGGGGAGGAGCCAGGCCTCGAAGCCCTTCCCAGCGTTCCAGAGGTTTCTCCCGGACGTGTCCTCCCGGTCCCATCACTGACGAATAGCAGCACCTCATTAACTGGTGATTTAATGCTTCACCGATAGGCTTATGCTCCCGGGTAACCGCCCCCTCACCCCAGCCCCCTGTTCCCTAATCTGTCAGCAGATCTGCTTTTTGTCTGAAAGAAGAAAAACGAGGTTCCCAGCAGAATGCTTGTGGGAAGGCTGGTAATTTCTCTGAAGTCGGTCCAGGGGGTTGGAGGACCCAGGGCCAGCGCCTTCTGAAGAAAGTCGCATGCTTCGCATATTTCTGTCCCTGCTCTGTGGTTTGGAAAGCTGGGGCTTTCACCGAGCCGTCTCTACTGTCCTGGGCCCTCTGTCTCCCCCTTCCCCCACCAACCAGGGTCTGGCACGCAGTGTTTATCAGCCCCAATCTGACTGACCCCAGGGAAAACATCCCCCCTGAAGCCCCCGCAGAAGTCCCCAGGCAGCAGAGGGCTGGCCCGTGTTCTGTCCCTTGGTCCCCTTCCCGAAGCCTCCCTGCCAGCCCCCTCCAGGTTCCCCGCCAGCCCCCTCCAGGTGCGCCTGCTGGCCCCCGGAGGCCCCAGGCCCCCCACATCCTCCGCTGGAGGCCTCCCGTCTCCGCCTCCACCGCACCAGGCGAACCCCCATCAGTGTCCCACATACCTTTGTTGCCCCAGGAAACCACACGGATTTTCAATAAAAATCTGTCGAATGAGAGAATTTTGAAACTTAGCTCCAGAGTTTCAGTTTGGGAAGATGAAAAGGTTCTGGAGGTGACGATGGTGACGCTTGCACAACCACACGAGTGTGCACGATGCTACTGAGTGTGGTTCAGACAGTAAACCTTATGTCCTGCGCACTTTACCACCATAAAAAATGAACTCTGGCTCCTCGTTGCTGGCGTGCTGAGGACTGTCGGGAGCTAATTCGCGTGGAAAGACCCTCCCGAACCCTGGAGGACTCTGCGGGTCTTACCTTTCCTCTCCTCCCCTTACCTAAAGAATCGGTCACCTTCTTATTGATCTCTGAACCTGTGCGGTGACAGTTGGAGAAATGGGAGGAGCACAGGGACATGTCCTTCCACAGGGCGACTCAGGGAACCTAGGTCAGGACCTGGCTGAACCCCGACTTCCTGAGTCCCCAGTCCTCACTCAGCTGCACAAATATCTGCGGGCAGCCTGGGGACACTGGAGAGAGTGACTTGCATTGCGGGGTGTGAGGCCTGGACTATTACGTGATCTCTTTCTAACCAAGTCCTTGGCCTCCCTGCTGCCCACGGCTAAGCCTTTCCTGGAGTCAGGCATTGAAAACATCCCACAGAGTCTGCTGACACTGTTCTTTGGGGGGGCTCTGCCCAAGGGGTCGGGTCCCTGGAGGGGCCTGCGGGTTTGGAGAAGGCCTCAGTGGACGCTGAGACCAGCCCCTTACTCAGCGCGTGTTGGGGAGCAGGCTGGGCGGCATGCTCCTGGCCCATGCCCGCCCAGGACCCCCAAGACTGGACACCCTGAGTGGAGGGTTGTTGTGCGGGGGGGCTGTCCACCGGCTGGGAGGGTCCGTGTTCAGCTGGAGGGGGTCTGGCGATTGCACAGGGCTGCCCAGTTTGGGGCATCAAAGTCAGGGGAGCGGGTAGGACGACAGAACCACACCCTCTCTCCACACGCCCTGCCTGTCCCCCAACACCCACAATCTGGGGCTAAGATATTCATCTCCTGGGTCCCTTTGCCATAGAAGATTGGGGAAGCTGTCCCTGGGTGCCGGCCACAGGGAGTGGGGCAGTGTGTCCACTTCACAGCTGGCCCAGGCCAACCAGAGGGCCGGCCACAGGAATGGGTGCCACCCGCGAAACGGGGCTTCCGGGGGGACATCCTTTGCTGAGGCTGGCGGGAGTGATGGCAGCAGCAGAGAGGGGATGCCCAGCGCCACCTTACACCTCGTGGAGGGGCCGGAAGGGTTCCATCTTACTCGAAAAGCAGGATAGAAACGGTATGTGAAGAAACCTTTGAAAATGGTAGGGAAAAAAGGTGAGGCCGGCGTGAGGTCAGCGGCCACAATATTATCCGGGGGGCAAGGTCGTAAATCTTCGCTAGATGGGACTCACGATTGGGCCACAGCCAGCAAGAAAAAAAGGGATCGGCTCCATGATGCCGGCTCCAAAAGATAAAAAGAAACCAGTTTCCCAGGACGAGCTCAGCAGTTCCTGGGACTCCGGCCAGAGAGAAAATTCTTGCACGGGTCCCCAGGACTTACGCTGATTTTCGTGAGCTGCATCCTCGACATATCTATCCCCCCTGCAAAGAAAATAACAAGTTTCCTAGGATTTTTGCTAACAGCACCCCATAGGGCTAGGCCAAGGGCATTACGCCAAGGTAAACCTTCTGTGGGGGAGATTCCAACACCCTTTGTTTACACAGGAACATTTAGCTAATTCTAAGCGCATCTAATTGGCCTAGTCAAGCAGGGCCTGGCCCTACTGGCTATGGGTAAACACTAACAACAACAACGCAGCTAACATTTATTGAACGATTACCGTGCCCCCAAGACACTGTACCAAACCATTTTTACAGATAATGAGGTGAGTATGTTATTCTTTTACAGTGGAAGAAAAAGACTTAAGAGGTTTTTGTATATCCTTGAAGGTCCCCTTTGGTGTGGCTCCTTGAGGGAGAAAAATGGGAGAAGATTCCCAGGAGAAGGCAAAACGACCCCGCTGGAAACTGCAGAGGCCCCTCGGCGGTTTGGATCAGGGAATGAGCGGGCAGGATGTCTGCTGGCTGCAGAGACACATCCAAGAGCATCCGTGTCTTCAGTCCCATGTGACGGTAACCTGTCAGGAGGGCAGGACAAGTGTCGTGGCTCCTAACGACACCGAGGCCCCCGAGAGATGAAGAGATTCACTCCTGGTCACAGGTCGGGTGTCCGCGGTGCGGTCCAGCCCTCCTCTGAGACCTGGGGCTGCCCTTTTTGACTCAGAATCCACTTAGAATCAGCTAAAAGAATCAGCTAAACGTTTCTATGTGAACAACCCGTCCTTTGGGAAACCGCCTTTGGGAATGGTAGCGGCGCATGCGTGATCCACATGGGGTCGTCCCTGGGGAGCAGGTGCACTGCTGGACCTGCGGCCACGGGAAGAGGGGTGACCGTGTGTGAGCGCTGGGCAGCCGGAGGGTAGACTGCAGTGAGTGACTCGTCAGACCCAGTACGATGGCTGCGATCCTGATGATGCAGTCATGACCACATTATTAACCTCGAGTTCGAACAATTAAATTCTCTCTCCTTGGAAATTAAATCTGGGGCCAAGTCACACCGGGAGAGAGGGCCACTGGTGCCAAGTCAACTCATGGCCTCCTGGAGACAGAGTCCACAAGTTCTGGCTGCTGAGACCCTGGCCCTTCCCTAGGCCTTAGCCTTCTTTAAGCCCAGTGTGTGTCTTCCTTCACCTGATCGCCTTCCAGTGAACCCCCTTTCCTTGCTTAACCCCACTAAACTCAGTGTCTTTAGCCGCAACCAAAGATTTTGAAAGACGTCCACTCATGACCCCCTCCCCCGACCTCAGTTCTGCTCCCAGCAAAATCAAGGCAGGTGTAGACAGGGGCACAGCTGGCCCTGGCTTCCCTTTGGAAGGACACTAAACTCATGTAAAATATCCTCTGTTGGATTAACAACCCTCGTACAAATTAAACTTGGCTTCACAGTCCACACGGAGAGCAAGCGAATGCATCATCTTGCGGGCAGCTGGAAATCTTCCGGAATGAGTGAAAACAGATGCTGCTAAATCAGGCTCCCTTGGGGGCCCGCCTAGCCACACACGCACGCACACACGCGTGCACACGAGCGTGCATGCACGCGCACGCACTCTAACCGGGACGCCTGACTGCGTTGGAGGAGAGAGACCCACGTGCAGGGTGTCTGGGATGTCTCATGGAGACGGGAGTGTATCAGGCACCAGGAGACAGATGATCGATCGCCTTGCTTGTCAATGTCCTCAGAAAAATGCACTTAGGAGCTGGCGCCCCATTTCTCATCTTATTATGCCAGACCTTTGCCCCAAGTCTCTCTCTAGGAAAATTCAGTGGGATTGAAGGAAAAGGCAGGACCGCGCGCCTTCCGCGTTTTAGGCACAGAGGGGAGGGCCCGATCCTTTTACGCCACTGGTTCCCTATCATGCGACGGACACCTCATTTAGACTTGGATCGTGACAGATCCGAAATCTTCCACTCACTAGCTGAGTGAATTCGTCTCCTTCACCTGTCCAGGCCTCGGTTTCCTCATCGGGAAAATCGGGAAGGTAATACGTATGTCGAGAAGTTGCTAGGGACGTTCAAAGGTGCGACACAATGTCATTGTCCCTCGATTACAGTGAAATAATAGCAAGATTCCAATAGCATAGGAATTTTCGTTCGTTTAGTGTTTCGTGGGGATAACGGGGGTAGAAAAGATTCTACCAGCCTCGTTCGTTGTCACTCGCCCGTCGGCCCATGGCAGGGAACACAGAGACCTGGCTTTCCCTCTCTGTGATCCGTGGCAGGCAGGATGCTGGTGAAAAGCGTGAACGGTGGGTTCGGTTCAGGTAATTACTTGCGAGAGGAGTGTGAAGAGTTGCCTGAAACCATAAAGCACAGTGAAAAATCACGAGGTTCGGGAAAGGCCCTCTGCCCCTGTCTTCCTCCCTCCGCCTCTCCTCTCGGGGGCTGAAATCTGGAATGCAGGCGAAAGGCTTTCGTGTTGTTGTTTCTTCTGCTGCTGCTGGACGCTCAGCAGCTGAGAGGGGTCGGAGCAGGGCCCTGACGGGAGAGATGGCTCCCTTTGCAGCAGCAGCCAGAGGACATCCCCCGCAGGCCACTTGGCCGAACGGATGGTGAGGCAGCGCTCCCGCGGAGTGGCTTAGCTAAGCTCCGGAGACGACGTTTGGGTCGTTTCCAGTTTGTGACTATTGGAAATAAAACTGTTACGAAAATTCATGTGTAAGTCTTCATATGGACACAGGCTTTCATTTCCCTTGGGGAAAGAGGAATGGATGAGTCATACGGTAGGTGCGTTTAACTCTTTAAGAAACTGCCAAACTTTTCCAAAGGGCTCGTGCCATTTTAATATTCTCATTCGAGTGGCTCTGTGTTCTTGCCAACGAGAATTTTTGGACGGATCAGACTTGTTCATTTTAGCCATTCTAATAGGTGTGTCTGGTATCTCATTGCGATTTTAATTTGCATTTCCCTAATGCCAGGTGATGGTGAGCATCTTTTCATGTGCTGATTGTTTATTTATAGATCTTCTTTGGAGAAAGGTCTATTCAAATTTTTTGCCCATTTTTAAGTTGGGTTATTTGTCTTCTTGGTGTTAAGTTGTAAGAGTCTGGTTTTTTTTAAAAAAAATATATTCTGGATACTAAACCCTTATCAGAGATATGGTTTGCAAATGTTTTCTCCTAATCCAAATTGAATTTGCATATATATATATGTGTGTGTGTGTGTGTGTGTGTGTGTGTGTGTATGTATATGATAGTGTGCTTTGAAACATAAACCTTTTAAATTTTGATGAAATCCTATTTTTCCTTCTATAGTTTATTTGCTTATGCTTGAGGTGTCGTATCTAAGAAATTATTTCCTAATCCAAGGTCATGAAAATGTACACCTATGTTTTCTTCTAATAGTTTACTAGTTTTAGCTCTTGCATTCAGCTCTGTGATCCGTTTTGAGTTCATTTTGTACGTGGTGTGAGGTACGGGGGTCCAAATTTGTTCTTTTCTGTGTGCTGTCCAGTTGTTTCAGCACCAGGTTTCGAAAAGACTGTTCTTTAGCTCTTTGAATTGCGTTGGCACCTTGTTGAAAATGATTTGACCATAGATGCATGGGTTTATTTCTGGGCTCTCAATTCTATTCCATCGGTCTATGTTTCTATCTTTATGCCATGCATTGGTTGATTTTCGAATGTTAAACCAAAATGTTTAATTCCCGGAATAAATCTCACTTGGTTTTGACGTCTTATGGTTTTTACATACTGTTGAACTCGACTGCTCAAGTTTTGTGTAGAATTTTTGCATCTATGCTCATGACGAATATTGGTGTGTAATTTGCTTTTCTTGGGATGTTTTTGGTTTTGGTATCAGGGTAATACTCGCCTCATGGAATGAATGGAGAAGTAGTCCCTCCTCTTCAATTTTCTACAAGAATTTGTGGAGAACTGATGTTATTTCTTCCTGAAATGTTTGGCACGATTCCCCAGTGAAGCTGTATGGGCCTCGAGTTTTCTTTGTGGAAAGATTTTAACTATAAATTCAATTTTTAGAGTACATATTAGGGGTATTCAGATTATACGTAATTCTTGATGGAGCCTGTGTATTCTGTTTCCTGGTGAGTTCCTTGGATCTGTGCGTTTATAATTATTATCAAATTTGGAAACTTTCAGCCATTATTTCTTCCAAGATTTTTTCTGTTCTTCGTTTTTCTCTCCTCTTCTTCAGGGACTCCAATGACTCGTAGATTCGGCAGCTCAAAGTCGTCCCACAGCTCACTGCTGCTCTTCCATTTTTTAAAATTCTTTTTTTCTGCTTTTCATTTTCTATAGTTTTTAGCGCTGTGTCTGCAAGGTTACTAATATTTCGTTCTGTCATGCCCAGTCTGCTGGGTGGCCGTTGTTTAATTTCAGACATTGTTTTCATCTCTAGAAATGAGACTCTTCAGGACTCTTTGACATCTCTCGTGCTTCTATACCACCTTTTGAGCACACGGCACACATGCATGTGTGACAACTGTTTCCGTGACCTTGCTGCGCCCTTCGGAGCCCCTGGTGGAGGTTGGGCAGTTCTGTTTCTTTTCCCACCTTAAGTACTTTCCTCACACGCATGCGTTGATCAGTCTCCAGCTGCATGTGGCAGAGGGACCTTCTGCAGATGTCCAGGGGTTTTTCCTCTCTGCTGCTCTATCCTGCCATCTCTAGCCACTTTATTCTTCCTGGATTCTTGGCTGTTTCCTCAACTCGGGGAGTCCGCTGGGCTCCATCTGGGTTCTGCCTTCCTGCTCTGTGTTCTGGAAATGTTCTCAGGGCAGCGAGCTGGGCTAGTCATAGGACTCGCCTCATTTTTTCCTCTGTCTCTCAGGAATTACTGTCCTTCATTGCCTGACATCTGTCATCTTGAAAACTATTGCTTCATATATTTTGTGTGTTATTCTGGTCGTTTCAGGTAGGAGGCAGGACGGGCGAATCTAATCCAGTCGCCTCGGCCAGAGGTGGAAGTCAAAGCTGATGGATTCTGAAGGCTGTTTTAAAATTGCTTTCCCTTTGTCGAGTAAGCCTCAGACATTTCTCTGAAGCTGTCAGGAAGAGTCTGTGGGCGAGATAAAATGAAAATTTGGGGAGACGGGATGTTTACCAGCTGGCATTCTTACTACAGACCAGCTATGCCTTGACTAACGCAGCCCTGCTCAGACACCCAGAAAGACCCAGACATTCAGTCCCAAACGTGGGGTGATCTTGGAGAGCCATACACATGCCCAGACTCCCCACTTCCCTCTGGGCCAGTCTCTGGGTAGTACCTCTGGCTCAAAGGGCCTGACTCCTGAGTTGGAGGCCAACAGCTAGAGGCAGTGGCCAGGACGAAGGAGATTTTCATTTTCTTGGCATGAGAGGGAGATCTGGTTTTCCAAGCCTGCTTCCTTTTTAACCTGAAACCTGACTGAATGGACTACTGACCCTTAGGAGAGATTGAATGTCATTCTGGGAATGAGGGGATGTGGGGAGTGGGGCCGACCTGAGCTCAGGGGTCCAGCTCAGCCCGGCTCTGGGACCTCACGCAGGGGCTGGGACTCTCTGACGTCCAATGCTGGTTGCATCCCTGTGGACCCTGGCAACACGAAGGTGCGGGACACATGGATACACAGGGTTCTAAGAGCACATGGCCATGTATTATTCTCCCAACAATAATTTTAATTCTCTGATAATTGTCCTCCAAACGTTAATAGTAGTAGTCATAATATTGAAGCTTCCTAAAGCCATCTTTTTTTTAATGGCACAACATGTTTCGTGTTTGCACGTGGTAAAATACAGCACAGCGGAGACCGCCTTTCTGGAGAGTCGCCCCTGGAATACGGCTTCGCTTTCTGCCTTCCTGTCCTGCGGGTCACTGCAGCCCCCTCCCGCCTCCCTTCAACCCTCCTCCACCGGGGTCTTTTTGAGCCCAAATCCCACTCCCCCCACCGCCCTCAGCGGTCCCCACTGCCTACAAAGTGAGGCTCTGCTCCGTGAGCTGAGCTGCAAGCCGATTCACAAAGGGTGGGTTTCTCCGGTTAGGCCGCTTGGGGAACGAACGGCCCAGCGCCCTGTGGGACCCCACCACGGCGTTTCCTTCCGGACAGGGCCAGCCATTGGGAGAAGGTGCGGTCATCGCGATGAGGGCTGACTTTCCAAAGCCCCCGTGTCCGCCCCCGCCCCCACCCCGCCCTGCCCCGCCCCCAACACACAATCGCAAATCCGACCGAGGTTTGCCCCCCCTAGCTTCTCAGAAGAGCCCTACAGGGGCTCTTCGGAAAATCCTGTTGCCTTTAGGACCTGGAGGATCTGAGGGGGGGAACCGGGGAGGGGTGACCCCTCCCTGCCCCCCGCGAAGCCGGCACCGGAACTGCCCTAATGGGAACCAGTCGACCAGAGCTCCGCTGTGCGGAGAGCTCGGTGGGCCGTCCGAGGGGCGCGCGGCGCAGAGGGGGCGCCCCGGTGCAGGCCGAAAAGTGCGGGCTTG